AATTAGTTGTGAATAAATTAGAGAATTGTGAATACATTAGAGAATTGTGAATATATTAATTAGATAATTAATGACGTTGCTAAATTTTGTTTTTTTAATATATAGATTCATATGTGAATTGAAGCACGAGTTTAATTAGCTTGAGGACTACATATTGAGCTCAAGTGGGTAGTTGCATTGCTATATTGGTATGACTTATAAACTTTACTTAGCTATATTTCTTTCTATTTATCCATTTAATAAAAGTTTATTCATGAAATTGCAACTTGTGTATTGTTTAATTGCAAATAAATTCAACAATATGTAGAATACTTGCATCATCATATGCCTAGATACCCGTTCAAGGCTTTCTCATTAGGAGAAATTCTTGAATAGTCCCCTGTTGGGACTGTTCTTGAATGTGTACTCTCACTTAGGTGGTGAATGTATGTTTTCTTTTCGATTTTAAGGAACATCTCGGCTTACCATTTCCTCACTATGTTCTCTGGGTACATATGTGGGTAATTAATTATCTACATCGTGTACTTGGAGAACTAGGGGGAAATGCTGTCGGATTTTCCTTAAAATTGGAAAGTTGACATACATTCACTAGTGAGAGTAGACATTCAAGGATGGGTTAGGTTGGAGTGATAAGGACCCTTTGGAAACATGCATTTTTTCACTATATGAATGGTATATTCACGTTTTGTACTTGAATTTGATTTACATAAAATATGTAGCACTTACACATTATAATTATATGGTGCTATATATATGTTTAGAGACAATTTACTAAATGGAGAAGGATCGTGGTTGGATGTATGGTAGACGCGATACATTGGAATTTTGGAATGGGGTTCAAGAGTTTTGCGAGAGGGCTTTAGCTTATCAACGCAAACTGGGAGGCAAAGGCCTTTATTGTCCTTGTGTTGATTGTAATTGTGTGAATGTGGTCGATAGTGTTGAAATCATTAGAGATCATGTATTATGTCGTGGGTTTAGGAAATTTTACCATGTGTGGATTTGGCACGGAGAAAGTGGAGAGTACAGTGGGGATCTTGATCGGAATGATGTGCGTGTTAGAAGCACTGAGATTCATGTGGACGAGGAATACGAGAATGATGAGTATATCGTTGATAATGGTGAGGATGGAGCCGATGAAGATCAGGCAGATGAGGTCGAGGATGAACAAGTGGATGAGATGTTGCAAGGTGTTGAAGGTGAAGTGTTTGAATTATTATCGGAGGCTTCCAAAAAGCCTTTGTATCCCAGGTGCAAAAAATACTCCAAACTATCGGCCGTGCTAACACTTTTCAACATTAAGTCGAACCATGGGTGGACGGACATCAGTTTTACTTCTTTGTTGACCGCATTAAGTGATATGTTGCCTGATGGGAATGAAATTCCTAAGTCTTATTATTACTCAAAGAAGCTCATGTGTCCCTTTGGTTTGGAGTATAAGAAGATACATGCATGTCCTAATGACTGTATTTTGTATCGAAATGAGTATGAAAAACTGCAGGAGTGTCCACGATGCAAGCGGTCGCGGTACAAGCGCATGAGTTGCAATCCTGGCACGAAGGGACCTCCTGCTAAGGTGTTGTGGTATCTTCCCATTATTCCAAGGTTTAAGCATCTGTTCTCAATACCAAAAGACGTTAAAAACTTGAGGTGGCATGCAGAGGGAAGAAAGAAAAACAGAATGCTGAAGCATCCAGCTGACTCTCCACAGTGGAAGAACATTGATTTGAAGTTTGAGGAATTTGGTAATGAAGTCAGAAATTTAAGGCTTGGGTTGTGCACGGACGGGATGAATCCATTTGGCACTCTTAGTACCCAACACAGCACATGGCCGGTACTTTTAGTGATTTATAATTTGCCTCCTTGGCTGTGCATGAAACGTAAGTATGTAATGCTTTCATTGCTAATAACTGGTCCTAAGCAACCTGGAAACGACATAGATGTTTACCTTGCGCCGCTTATTGACGACTTGAGAAAGATGTGGGACGAAGGGGTTTCCGTTTTCGATGCTCATCAGAACGAGATGTTCACATTGCGTGCAGCCCTTATGTGGACCATCAATGACTTCCCTGCATATGGCAACTTGTGTGGGTACAAGGTCAAAGGGAAAAAAGCATTCCCCATATGTATTGATGACACATCAAGCGTATACCTGACTCATTCTCACAAAGATGTGTACCTACGGACTCGAAGGTTCCTTAGGCGTGATCACCCGTACCGTAGGCAGAAAAAGGCTTTCGATGGAACCGTGGAAGAGGATACTGCGCCTAGACCATTGACTGGTGCTGAGATTAGTGCTCGGGTGAAAGGGACACAAACGGTGTTTGGAAAATCAGAAAAAATTGTGGTCTCAGCTGCTCTGTTTAAGAAAGAATCAATCTTTTGGAAGCTGCCGTACTGGAGAAAACATGACGTTAGGCATTGTCTTGATGTGATGCATATAGAGAAGAATGTGTGTGATGCTCTTTTGGGGACGCTTATGAATATCCCAGGCAAAACAAAGGAAGGAAAGGGTGCACGGTTAGATTTGCAAGAGATGGGGATTTGTCCAGAATTATGGCCTCAAGAAAAGGTCAGAAAGGGAAAGGAGCCGAGAATAGAAGATGAAAGTGTTTCGAAAAAAGGGAAGGAGAAGAGCAAGGGAAAGGGAAAGGCCAAAGATGCGTCAAAGAAGAAAGTTAAGGGTAAAGGGAAGGATGAAAAGAATTATTTACCCCCGGCTTGCTATACATTGTCAAGGGTAGAGAAACGTATGTTTTGTGCATGTTTGTACGACATTAAGGTTCCATCAGGGTACTCATCTAACATGAAAAGATTTGTAACCTTAAATGGAGAATTGAAGCTGACAAGTATGAAATCCCATGATTGTCACATTATGATGCAAGTATTCCTACCGATTGCAATCCGTGGTATTCTACCAAAACACGTGAGGGAAGCGATTACAAGCCTTTGTTCGTTTTTCAATACAATTTGTAGCAAAGTTCTTGATCCTTGTACACCAGATGCTTTGCAAGCTAATGTGGTTGTGACTTTGTGCAAATTTGAGATGTATTTCCCACCCTCATTTTTTGACATAATGGTTCATCTAGTTCTTCATTTGGTGCGTGAGATTAAGTTGTGCGGTCCAGTGTTCATGAGGTGGTGCTACCCTTTTGAAAGACACATGGGTACATTACAAGATAAAGTACGGAACCGAGCTCACCCTGAAGGAAGTATAATGCAAGGGACAGTGGGTGAGGAGATAGGTAACTTTGTGGCGGACTACATAGCCCTTGCTCAACATATTGGTCTTTCTACTTCTCGACATGAAGGTAGACTTGATGGTCATGGCACAATTGGGTCGAAACGAATGTCACCAGACCGAGATCAGTTCTTACAAGCACACCTTTATGTGTTGCACCATGTTTCAGATGTGCACCCATATTTAGACGAGCACATGGCTTGTTTGCGTGCCGAATTTCCATCCAAAGGTGAAAGGGCACTTATGCAGTTGCATAATAAGAAATTTGTTGATTGGTTTTGTGAACGAGTAATGAGTGGATTGAATGATACTAATGTGACCGATACAGTACGGTGGCTTGCGTACGGTCCTAGGATGATGTCCGTTCATTTGAGGGATATGACATCAATGGGTACACTTTTTGGACCAAGGCTCGTGATTTGAAATCTTCCTCCACCCAAAACAGTGGTGTAACTCTTGTGGCATCGTCAAGGGAGTTTGCAAGTTCTAAGGATAAATCACCTGTCGATGCAGAGTTGTCATACTATGGTCGAATTCAAGAAATATGGGAGCTTGATTATTGTGACTTCACGGTTGCTCTTTTCAAGTGTAAGTGGGTTGATAATATCAGGCGAAACGTCAAACATGAGGACTTTACTCTTGTATATCTTGGCCACTTGAATGATAGTGCGGAACCATTTATCCTTGCATCTCAAGATAAGCAAGTGTTCTACGTAACTGACCCAATGGATTCAAAATGGTCTATAGTGCTAGCTGGCAAAAGAAGAATCCTAGGCATTGGAGATGTTGAGGATGAGGAAGAATATGATGCGTTTGATGATTCAACACCTTTCACTGTTCCTAGACCTGGAGTTCTAAATGAAATATACAACGAAGAAGGTTATATGCGATCAGACAACAACGAAGGAATTTCAGAATGAGGTAGCTTGATTAAAAGTTAGTAATGGTTTCATCGCAAATATAGTTTAGTTATCATGTATATAGGAGCATAAGTAGGCGAAAATGATATATTTGTAGTTTGAAATTGCCTAAGTGTACTCATTATCATGCATATACAAGGTTATAGGACCATAAGTAGGTGAAACTGGCATAAATAGCTTCTACTTAACCCAACTCCTTTGTTTTGTGTATGAACTAACATTTATTCATTCTAACAAACTATTTTCCATATGTAGATTGAAATTGGCATTTTGGACTCATTATCATGCATATACAAGGTTATAGGACCGTAATAAGTAGGTGAAAATGGCTAAAATAGCTTCTACATAACCATAATAACTATCATGCATATACTTTACTATACACTAATATTGTTTTATGATTGCTTTGACAGGTGCTTATATCTCATGGCGGACGATCATGATCCTCGTTTGGTAGAGGACATTGACGATGATGAGTATGAGGACGAGTACGAGGATGACGACTCCGATGGTAGTGATGCTCCTTATGATGTGAATAAGGAGGATGACTTGGGTGAGCCAGAGGATCAGGCTCAAGATGAGTTCGAGCGTAGGCTTGACGATTTTGAAATGTCAGCTGAACGTGCACCGGCCATTGAAAATACAGCATGTGAGATGGTTGGTGAGAACCCGACTCCTGAAAGTCAAGGCCAAGGACAAGATGAAAACAACACAGGTGGTGGAGGGGGGGAAAAGGCACCAGCTGAAAGAAAAACAAGGAGTCCGACGAAAAGCTTTAAGAAACCGGACGGTCCCATGGTCTTGAAGTATGACAACAAAGGCCAACCCGGGCCCAAATGGCGTCGACAATATGCTAATCAAGTTGGCTTATGTTCGCGGAAAATCCCCATTACACTTGTAATGCGGCAAGTACCTCCGGGTTTGATTCAAGCATTTTGGGATGATACAAGGGTAAGTGTGTTTTTGGCACATTTAGACAATTTAAGATACCTTAACCTTATGATTGTTTTTAAATAGAAACCAATAATCGGTTTTAATTTGTGCTTGCAGAGGCAGTTTTCTATTCCTAATGATCCCGAGAAGAAAAGGGTGTTTGTCTCTTTATTAGGGGAAAGATTCAGAGGCTTTAAGACCAAGTTGACTAATCGGTGGATCCATAAGAAGAAGAAGGTGCAAACAAAGAAGAAGAATGCCAAAGAGGATAACCGTCTCCCGTGGAAAATATGGCCGACCGTGTCAAAAGATGATTGGGAAGAGTTCGTTAGAATGAAGAGTCAAAAGAAAGCCATTGTAAGTTTGTGTAAATCTGATGTCAATTGAATAATAGCTTGACACTTTTTGTATTAATGAGACTAACATTTTTTGTTTTGTAGGAACTTCGAGAGCAAAATCAAGCGAATGCAGAAAAGAAGGAATACGTCCATCGTATGGGTCCTAAGACTTTTGCTGAAAAGAGACCTGAGTGGGCCGCTTTGGGTTTATACCCTAAAGCGCTTCTAGTGGCATCGAAGGAACCCTCTAGTTCCACGATCACTACCTTGGTGAGTCGTGCCGGTGATTTCTTTTGTTCTCTCCATTAGTTTGATAAGAAAACCGGAAAATGGTTCATCAAGGGTCCGGAAGCCAAAAAACTGGCGGATAAGCTAGTAATTTACCTATGAATTATTGAAATTAAGTCACTTTTGCATCTAACCATTAACTGTTTTACTGACCTCATTTTTCCTTATGCTATAGCTTGAGCACACTCAAGAGATGGTGGAGGGCAAATTTGAACCAAGTGTTGAGAATGACCCTTTCACCATGGCTTTGGGAAGGCCATACCATCCAGGACGAGTAGTAGGTTCGGGAGGGTCATTGCTTGGATGGAATAAGGTGATGGGTCCCGAATACACAAAATCGGGTACATCTCGAGCCAGTGTTAACTCGCCGGGGGAGTTGGATGCCAAGGTGGCATCAATTAAGGAACAAGTACGCAACGAGTTAGTTGGTGAATTGAATGCTTGGGCGAAGCTGATGAACTTACCGACTTTGCCGTTTCTCACTCGTACCCCGGTCGACTCATGTTCTGAACCAAAACGACAAGGAGAAGGTTATAGACATGGAGGAGATGAGATACGTGGTGAAGATGTTCCACCTCAGGTAAAATCAACTGGGTTATTAAAAGTTTTAAAATACCGAGTTAATTGAGATTTTAGGTGCAATGATTGATGTACTGTTGTAGGTTCCTACTCCTACACATGCGGACTCGAGGGAGCTTGAAAATCCAACACCGCATGAATTTCCAGGGTTAAAGGAAATTTGTAACCCTCTACCTTAATGAATTTTGTTATATCTATGCTGTTGTAAAAGTCCTACTTAACTATCTTCTTTTTATATATATACTTGTTTAGGAAGACACCCGGTGTGCACTTCTAGCCCCGGGGCATGCAAATAGTACCGTGTTGAGTTTGGTGGCGTATGTTAGTGCCCAACCGACGACGGGTGCTACGGCGGGGCCACATCATTACTCGGTTGGGATCGATTCAGTGGTTGCGGGGTTCGAATACATCCCACTACCCGTACCGATAGAGGAGGTTGAGATAACAACACTTTGGCAAGCTGTAGGTAGCTTCGTTGATTGGCCACGTGCATGGGTGAAGTTGATTAATAAAGAGGTAAATTAGCTACTCACTTGACTATTTTCTTCATTTCTCAACTTTTAAACTACTTGCATCTCAAAACAACTCATAATCACATATTTATAAGTGTTTGTCATTTGAAATTACTGCCTTGTTCAAATTTTTTTTTTTTAAAAAAAAATAAGCAACTTCCGCCGCACCGGGACACCCGAGGGAGGCGCCCCCGCTATTGGAACAGCGAAGGCAGCTCGTGCCGAGGCCATAGCAGCCCCGACAGGTGGCTGCCAAGGCTGTAGCAGCCACGACAGGTGGCTGCCAGTCTGCTGCAGCCTTGGCAGCAGCCTTCCTGGGCTGTTGCAGCCTCGACAGGTGGCTGCCATGGCTGCTGCAGCCTCGGCAGGTGCTGCTACAGCCTTGGCAGCCACCTGCCGGAGCTGCTATGGCCCAGGCAGGCTGCTGCCAAGGCTGCAGCAGACTGGCAGCCACCTGCCGTGGCTGCTACAGCCTTGGCAGCCACCTGTCGGGGCTGCTATGGCCTCGGCACGGGCTGCCTTCACTGTTCCAACAGCGGGGGCGCCTCCCTCGGGTGTCCCGGTGCGGCTGCCGTTGCATTTTAAAAAAAAAAAATTAAGCTCCTTGCATCTCAAAAAAACTCATAATTACATATTTATAAGTGTTTGTCATTTGAAATTACATAAAAATCGCCAAGTTCTAAGTTTTTTGGTCCAATTCATCAAAAAAAGCCATTTTGACCCGAAATGGCTACTCACTTGCCTATTTTCTTCATTTCTCAATTTATAAACTCCTTGCATCTCAAAACAACTCATAATTACATATTTATAAGTTTTTGTCATTTGAAATTATATAAAAATCGACAAGTTCTAAGTTTTTGGGTCAAATTCATCAAAAAAAAGCCAATTCGAGTCGAAATGGCTACTCACTTGACTATTTTCTTCATTTCTCAACTTATAATCTCCTTGCATCTCAAAACAACTCATAATCACATATTTATAAGTGTTTGTCATTTGAAATTACATAAAAATCGCTAAGTTCTAAGTTTTTGGGTCCAATTCAACAAAAAAAGCCATTTTGACCCGAAATGGCTACTCACTTGGCTATTATAAGTGATTGTGAGTTGAAACTTATTATTTCTCAAACTATTTCAGATTTCCAATGGAATCAAAACTTCAAAGAGAAAGAGGGTGGAGAAGCCTAAAAGAATTGATCAACCTAAGAAGAAGCTTAGTGAACAACAGTCCAAGAGTGAACAAGCGTCGAAGTTGCACTCTTCGAAAGGTTCACCCGTGCCACCTACTCCAATTGCTGAAGACATTGTTCTTCAATCGCTCTCTACTGACATGACCTTTCTTCACAACCGTGCTTGTCATTTGGTCGATCCCATGGAAGTTGCACTTCCTAAGGCAATGTTCCACTATGATGAGGATGCAATTGCATGGATCAGCAAAGAAGATGTGAAGGAATTTCTACGTGGTGCAAAGCTTAACATTCCCTCATTCAAACATTCATGAGGTACTTCAATGCCCACATAAAGTTCATACTTTTTTCAAGTTATTAAAATTGATGGTGATTATCCTACATCTGATAAATTAATCAATGTTCATGCATGCAGAGCATTACAGGAGCACTTAACTGACACTGATTCTCCTTGTAAAGTTGGGTGGTTATGCCCCGAGCAGTTATCCACTACTAAAATCATAGGCAACCCCCATGACGTGTTGTACTATGTTGAACAGAGTATAAGGGAATCAACGCGTGCGGGAGACAAGTTCATATTCGCCCCATGTTATAGAGAGTATGACTAACCATGTCAAATTCAATCGATTTGGCCTCATTATATGTTGACTCCTAAATATTAATTACCTTGTCTATTGTGAACTTATGTAGGGAGCATTGGAGCCTCATGGTGATTTGTAATCCCACTAACACAATTTATCACCTTGATTCAGCTCGATCATCGGAGAAGTGGCTCGTGAAGTCTATATTGCAAAAGTAAATATATATAGCAACTTATAGTGATGATTATTGCTAATAATAACTAATTTAGTAATCATACGACTAATCAAATTTGATTGTATTTTTTTATACTACAGTGTTGTGAAGAAGCTACATTGTCGTGCTCCAAAGGGTCCAACATGGAAGACACCGTTGGTAATTTACATGATATTATTGTGATTATCTTGAAAATCTATGGTAGTAAATATTTGCTCATTTCCTTTGCATGTTTCACTGATGTGATTTGTTTGTCATATGCTAGTGCGCACAACAAGAGAATGGATTTGATTGTGCTTTGTATGTGATGAGATTCATGCTTGACATTGTGACTCATTGTACGGACACTCAACAGCTTGATGAGGTAAGCCCTAAAACTTCTTGAAATGCTATATTGATGTGATTTCACGCCTTAGACACTTAATATTACCCAACAATGGCATGTTATGAGAAACAAAAAAGCTATTTCACAAGAAAGGTAGAAAATGGGCTGAATAGAAGTCATATGGGCCATGTTAGGGCCATTTTGTGTTAATATGCTCTTTTGATGTGATTTCTTTCCTTATACACATATTAACTAGATAATATTGACATGTTATGAGATAAATAAAGTTCATTTAATAAGAAATGTAGGAAATGGGCAAAGTAAGGTCATACAGGCCCATATTCGGGCCATTTTGAGTAAAAAGCGTCGTAAACCTTAATAAAATGCTCTCCTATACAATTTTAGGGCTTACACACATACAACTACCCAACATTGACACGTTATAAGAAAGAAAATAGTTCATTTGATAAGTAATGTAGAAAATGGGCTACATAGAAGTCATATAAGCCCTATTTGGGCCATGTTGAGTAAAATGCGTTGTTAAACTTCTTGAAATGCTATATTGATGTGATTTCTAGCCTTAGACACCTAATATTATCCAACAATGACATGTTATGAGAAACAAAAAGGCTATTTCACAAGAAAGGTAGAAAATGGGTTTAATAGAAGTCATATGGGCCATATTAGGGCCATTTTGTGTTAATATGCTCTTTTGATGTGATTTCTTTCCTTATACACCTATAACTAGATAATATGGACATGTTATGAGATAAATAAAGTTCATTTAATAAGAAATGTAGGAAATGGGCAAAGTAAGGTCATATAGGCCATATTCGGGCCATTTTGGGTATAAACCGTCATAAACCTTAATAAAATGCTCTCCTATACAATTTTAGGGCTTACACACATACAACTATCCAATATTGAAATGTTATGAGAAAGAAATAGTTCATTTGATAAGTAATGTAGTAAATGGGCTATATAGAAGTCGTATAGGTAATATTTGATAAAATACATATTTTTTGCCTAATTAATTATTTTTAAAATAATGTTTTTGTATTTCAAGTTTTGCAAGGTCCAAAAGGATGGTCCGTTGACAATCAAGGAGCTTAATGAAGTTCGTGACATGTTGGCGTCTTTCATCACCTTCAACATGTAAATGGCATACATTGTAATTGTAAATTATTTATGTTATTAACTTTTGAACTATATATAACTTATTATTCATTATATATGTGTACTTACTATTATTTGTATATGTAAGCAACTTTTTTTTTTTTGTATTGCGTTTGGGAATATTTATATCTATATATATATAATTGAATTCTTGTATCTAATATTATTTTTGTATATAATAATTAATAATATTATTATTAGTTACTATAATAATAAAATTATTAATTATTATATTTAATATAATTGCTGGAATTACAGGGTATTATTATTGCAGGTTTTTTTAAAAAAATATTATTGCACGATGGAAAAAAAAACGAAAAAAAATAAAATTATACAAAAGGCACCGGTTAGGCAGGAACCGGTGTCTAAACTATCCACCACCCAAAAAAAAATGGCGGGAGAGCAGTATTAGGCACCGGTTAACCGGTGCCTATTCCACCCTATGGCACCGGTTAACCGGT